GCCATTTGAAGCACCACCGAGGTTGGCTTCAATTCATTCAACCCTAATTGGACATATACAGAGTAAGGAATCAAATTGACACTCGCACCTAAGTCAAGAAGAGCTCTACGAATTTCATGAGTTCCAATTACACAAGAAATAGTCGAAGCACCGGGATCTTTGAACTTAAGTGGAGTGTTTTGTTGAAGAATGGAACTCACTTGCTCCGTGAGGAACACTTTTTTAGGGCTTGGTCCCTTGCTCTTCCTCTTTGTGTGCAAAGATCTTTCAAGAATTTTGCATAAGGTGGAATTTGTTTAATGGCATCCAAAAGAGGAAGATTGATATTGACTTGCTTAAAAACTTCTATCATGTCGTGTGGTTTCCCTTCTTGCCTCCCATGAGGCGAAATTTCTTTTAAAGCATAAGGGAATGGAGCTTTTGGCTCACAAGACTTTGTAATTTGAGAGGATGATGGAGAAGATTGAGAATTCCGATTAGGATCATTTTCATTCAAAAGAGTAGGAGTAGAATTGGAAATTGGATGGGTGACAACTTTAGGTTGCACCGATTCACCATCTTCCTTTGGTAGCTCAACCCTATTGTCCACTATCTTACCACTTCTCAAGGTGGTGATGGCTTGCGCTTGAGCTTGGGAAGAATACCCCGATGTAGGGTTTGCTTCCACACAAAATTGGGCCTTTGGATTCCTCTCGGGTTGACTAGGCAATTTCTCAATTTCTCTTGCATTCAATGCATTAGCTATGGTCCCAATTTGGGATTCAAGCTTTGATATAGATTGGGAGTGGGAATGCAACAAGTTGGTATCCTTTTCTAAGCTACCCAAAGCCATCAAAACCTTGTCTTCAAATGTGGAATTACTAGAAAGTGCTTGAGGATAATGAAAGCCAACTTGGGAATCATACATTTGAGGATGTGAGAAGTCATTCATTCTTTGATGATGGAAAGAAGAAGAAATGAACCCTTGAGAACCTCCATTTCTTTTATGAGGTGGAATGTATTTTCTTTGAAGATTTTTAGCTTGATAAGGGCTTTCATTCCACAATGGAATATATACCTTTGAATAAGGGTGAGCAAATGTGGCATTAACTTGTTCAAAGTGTTCATTAACAACATGTCTATGGGGACAATTGAAAGTAGAATGCAAAATACTTGAACATGTCATGCAAGGCTCACAAAGATGAGTTGTATGATGAAAAGGAGATGCATTGGTAGCCGATTTTTTATTCAACAAAAATTGATCAAGTTTTTGAGAAAGAGTTTTAAGCTCAACTACAATTTCCCTTGAATTATCAATTTGACACACTGTTACACTTTCCTCCTTTTTAGTAAAACCATGGTCAAGCTGAGAAGTGTAATATTTGTGCAAAGAATTTTCACTCATTTTTTCAAAGAGGTGCCAAATGTCATATTCATGTTTTCCAGAATATGAACCCCCACATGAGGTATCAACTATGTCCTTTTGCATGTCGGATATGCTTTCATAGAAGTATTGGACAATTTACCATTTTGGAATACCATGGTGTGAACACTTTCTTAGCAAGTCATTCAATCTCTCCCAAGCCTCATGCAACAACTCTCCTTCCCTTTGAGAAAATTCTCTAATTGAAGCACACATTATATTGGTCAAACTTATGGGGTAAAACTTTTTTAAAAACTCATTTTGTATTTGTGCCCAAGATGTTATTGAATTCACCCCTAAAGTATTGAACCAATGCTTTGCTTTATTTTTAAGTGTGAAAGGGAAGAGGAGTAATTTAAGAACTTCCTCCGGGACATCCATGTACCCCACGGTGGAACATAGTTCAAGAAATTCATTAAGATGCCTATATGGTTCCTCTTCATCCAAGCTATAAAAGAATGGACACATTTGAATAGTCTCGGGCTTGATTTCATATTGATTAGCCTCAAAATTGGGCAACACAATGCAAGTGGGTGCATGGTATGCATGAATATTATAATGATCACGAAGGACCATCGGAGGAATTGGAGCTTGAACTCCGAAGTCATGTTGATTAAGAGGTAGGGTATGCATGAAACGTGGGTCTAAGTAGCCAAGATTACCCTCTAGATTTTCCATGTGAATGTCTAGAATGAATGGTATGACAAGGTCTATACAACACTACAAATGACACACAGATCACCACAAAACAAGCAAGCACTCCTACTTCGCAATAAATCAACAATCAACAAACTTTCTCCACATACAATGTTCCCATACTCCCATGCTTTGATAACAATGCAAATAAAAGTAAATTGCCTCCACACAGGCTCACGATTTATCTAAAAATTTAAAAATAAGTCTCCACGCGGGCCGACGATCTAACTAATGAATTGAGTAAGAAAGTCTCACAAAGGTCCTTTAGCACTTCAACTCCAAATTCAAAGCTTAGCTTAGAAATTTTTTTTTTTTTATTTTTAGCACTTTCCCTTGCTTACTTAGCTCCTTTACTTGATGGCTCCTTTGCTTGCCTCCTAGCTCAATACTCATTGTCAAAGATGAACAAACACAATAAGTAATCTAAAGGAAAAACAAAATAAAGACATGATCAAAAGAGTACTAATTTCTAATTGATTCCACAAATACAACGTTGCTTAATCCCCGGCAACAGCGCCAAAATTTGACGATTAAAGCCGCTTGATACACGCCAAATTGATGTAGTGAATGTGCGGTTCAAGAAAAGCCCTTGGGATCAAGTTTAAATTTATAAAAACCACTACCAACACTACTACTAGAGTAACAAGGGTGAGTAGGAATCGTCCTAAGAGATTGGAGTCGTACTTGAATATGGAATCGCAATTAGGGTTAGTAGGTCGAGTGATCAAACAAATGGTTGGTTGGTTAATTAAACTAGAGAGCAACTAAATTAAACTAAGCAATTGAATGTAACAAAGAGCAAGTAAGAGAAAGAGAAATCTTAGGGTTTAGAGGTCACCACCAAGCAATGTTTTTCTACACTTCTAACTAGTGACTAATGAGGGAAAAGTATGTTGCAATATTTGTGTGTGTGTGTTCAGTTGATTCAATTAGTAAGGGGTGACCAATTAAGCATACATTATCTAATCAACATGTGAAAAGCACAACATATCTAGCAATTAAGTATATATTGTCTAAATAGCATGTGAAAAGCACAACATATCTAGCAAGTCATTAATCCTTTCATTAAGCTCACAAGCCAAACACACCACAAGATTAGAGACATATGCTACTTGCATTCAAAAGTTTGAAACATTAAACAACTAGTATGGATTGTCCTCTCATCTAACAATTGTGCTATCACTACACTACAATTAAACTAATGACATGAAATTAAACTAACTAAGCTAAGAAAGAGGTATAATCCATCAAGAAATGAGCATGGACCATCTAGAAAATCACAAGAGCATTCTTTTAAGCACAATGTTTTGACAATCTCCAAATCTATAGCATTAATACACATATACATGCATCAATTACACAAGAAAAAGAGGCAAACACATGAACATCTATTCTAGCATACATAGACATATGGATAGAATGAAATGATTGATTGGAAGATTTAAACCACATAAATTATTAAATAAACAAGATCTATATGTATAAAATTGTCAAAACATTAATTACAACACTAATCCCTCAATAATATACAAGATTAAGATATAGAAAGCATACTTGGGACTAACTCTAGCCCCAAGAGGATGTCTAGCCACTCATGGGACTAACTCTAATTCCATGGTTGAAATCTGCTCCTTGTTGATGAAGAATTTCCAATGGTGTCTCTAACCTCCTCCTCTTCTAAACTTCCTCTCCAAGAGATGATATGAAAATAATGTTGGCTTCATGTAAAAAGCAATCCTTATCCTTATATAGGTAGGTCAAAATGACACCCAAAATGAGCTGAGGTTGTGCACATAATATTCCCTAATGATTGGATAAAGGACAACTTTCAATGAGATCGAATTTTAACTTTTTTGCACTGGAGGAAGTTTGATCGATCGAACCTTAAACTTGGATCGATCGAATTGGCTGAGATCTATCGAACTTAGGCTGGATCGATCCAACTGGCTGAGCTTTTTGTAAAAAAGAAAATCCGAGATATTTTTGGGAGATATTTATAGGAAAAGGACAAAAGTAGTTAGTGGGTGGTACAACTGTGGATAGGATCAATCATTTGAATAAGGACAAAAGTATTCGATCGATCGAAGGATGGTGTTGGATCGATCGAACTTTTGGAACTTTATGCTTTTGTGTCAAGGCTTGGATCTATCTTGAAGTACTGAGATCGATCATTGTTCGATCGATCGAACCTTGAACTTGGATCGATCGAACTTTGCTGCTAGTCACCTTTGGCTTCATTTGCTTCCTTCTTTCTCTACTTTGCTCCTTTCTTTGTTTAATCCTAGAATTGCTTCAATTAAGCTCTTATTTGGCTGAGTTAGCTTATTTTCGGGATAAGTGTCTGAAAAAGGAAATAATACGAAATCAATCTAAAACGGTACAGTAAGATAGATAAAGGTACTAGAATGCCTAAGCTTAAGGGGTTTAAATACGCACTTTTCAGCGCTCATCACATGCCACTTGGAGAACACTTTCTGTCCTTGATACAACTGATGAAACCAAACTTTAAGTCAAAAACAAATAAAACCAGAATTTAACAAGATGAAAAAAGAAAAATTACAAAGTTTGATCCAAAGACCATGAACTTCCTTCCCTCATCTATTTCAAATATTTTCAACAAAACCCCAACTCATAACATTTGGAATTCACTTGCTGTCCTTGATACAACTGATGGAACCCAATCACCATCATAAACTGAATTATTCCTGGACTTCTCAAACCTATCTCCATCACCCCACAGGGCATATTCTTCCTCTCCATGCACCGCTTCATTGCCAATTTGAAGATCTTCGTCGTTCAATCTCATTGGAACTATCAACTTAATGAACAAACAGATCAAACTCGTGGTAACAACGTTGAGAGAGATGATAAAAACGATCCCCAGGAGTTGAATACTCATCTGTCAAAATCCAGCACCACTTCGGTCACTTTGGAGGCCATATGCTAGGCCAATGAATCTTTCCCACTCCAATACCATGTAGAAGAGGCGGCTGAGCTTAGGCACTGCGAAAAAGCCAGTGAGAATGCCGCCCAAGCTTCCGGCAATGGCGTGGGTGTGGAAGACGGCCATGGTGTCGTCTACGTATCGTAGTAGCTTGATCTTATGGTGGAGCACCATCATTGTGTACCATGGGACACTTCCTGAGATTATGCCCATCAGAATGGCAGCCCAGCATTGTACCACTCCTGCACATTTTTAAAGTAACAAAAATGGAGACTTTAAGTATAACTTATTTGAACAAACAAACATATACAAACTCTGAATTGTCCAAGTGAATTGTTTGACCTCCTATTTTTGATAGGCCATCTATGCAAATATAAGTTAGTGGGGCCCACACATGACCAATCAAAACTTGTCAAACCATCGGCCTAAAAATCATTTTCCTTAAAAAAAGTTCGTGCTATGTACAGATATTCTTTTTGTGTTAAAAAAAAACTCCCTTACATTTACCTTGAAAAAAAAATTCTAGATGTGTAATATGAATGATGATGTAGCTCGTTCTCTTATAATATATATATATATATATATATATATATATATATATATATAATACAGAACTACATGCTATATATTTGGGCTATGTGAGACTTGTAAACACATGTAACTCACACCAAAGTCTTGCCTCTCGTAGGCCTGCTTCCGCCCACCGAGCCTCACAATTGCACCACCTTGGGAGCCCGATGTCCTCGTCGGCACACTTTCGGCTATGTCAAGCCCACCAACTACAAAATTTTGATGAGTTAATCTCTATCACGGCTTTAAAACGAGTTGTGTTATAAAAGAATGTTGAACTTACATATATCACTTCACACTCATGTGATGTGGGAGTTGTGAGTACACGTAGCTTGTACCAGATCATTGCCTCTCACAGGCCTACTCCCGTCCACCGAGCCTCATAATACTTTGAAGTTTTTATAAAAAAAACAAATGATTGTTTATGTGTACATTTGGTACAATATTTTAAATCATAGGAATTTATACAAAGGATAGCATGATTGTTTATGTGTACTTTTTATTATATAAGTTCCATGATATGTATTATTTATATATATATATATAAATGATCTCTTGCTCGTTTATAGAAATTGAGCCAAAAATGATAGTGATTTGTGAATTGTACCTGCGCCGGGAGTTATGCAAACCAAGCCGGTGATCATGCCCTGCACGGCTCCAACGGCGGAGGGCTTACCATAGATGAAGGTGTCAAGTACAAGCCAGGTGAGCAAGCTGGTAGCCTCACACACGTGGGTGTTAAGCGCGGCTAGGGACGCGTCCATGCTAGCCGCGTAAGGAGCTCCGCCGTTGAACCCGGTCCACCCGATCCACAGCAGCCCTGCGCCGACTAACATCATTAGGATGTTGTTCGGAGGGAACATCTCTCTGTCCTTGTCTGCTCTAGGTCCCACCTATACATATATATATATATATATATATATGTAAGATTCTGGGAGTACATAAACGAATGTGCTACCACCACTAGTGGACATCAGTTTGGCTGTATGTGTGTGTTCTTTCTCTTGAGTCATTTACTTGATCCGTATAAGTTTCGTAACGAATGAGAGGTTGGTCATTTATTTCGAGAGTTAATATATTATTTTAAATTTAATTTTATATAAATTTTCATAAATAAATTATTTATGTTTTTCTGAGTTTGGTGAATGAAGTTCCGTAACAAAAAAATTCTTCTAACATTAAAAGATCTTCAAAAATACAATTTTCAAACGCTAACAAATAAATCAAATGGAAATGATAGCTTATACTTCTCATTTTCTTTTACTTAAAAGTATGAGCAAAAGATATATCAAACGGCACCTTAGTGCTCCCTGGGGTTACTTTTAGAGAAACTGAAAACACTTTTAAATTGAAATTCTCTTTTAGATGTACTGGTAACAAAATAAAAATAAAAAAGGCTCTTTAGTCTTTCGGTGAAGCATAACTTTTAGCTGAAGCTAAAAATTGAAAACTTTTTATAAAAGAGATAACAAATATATATAAATAGTCTATTTATTGAAAAAATAAATTTTATAAGGCTATTTAATCATGTAAAATCTGTTGGAAATGAAGCTTAATATAGGCCAACTTTGAACCAAAACTAAAGGGGAACCCATTAATCATTTTTGACGGGTCTATAGTTGAACGTGTTCCTCTCCAAGAATCAATGAACATGGTATAATTATTTTCTCGATTTTATTTCCGGATGAATAAGAAATTAGCTCCAAGTAAAGATATGAAATGGATATGTTTGGGAAATGTGTGTCCCGCGTTGGAAGGAGGATGAAAAAATATGGAGTTAATATATTCCTAGTTTGATACGAAGTATTTGGGTTTGGGCTTTTGAGTCAAAAAGTATTTCTTTAGAGGGAAGGACCTAGGTAAGCATGGGTAACCCACCACCACCCGCGGCCCCGCCCCGCCTATTAGGGCTTGGGCTTGCTTCTTAGAGTGATTATTCTATTTTATTTTATCTTAAGGATATTGTATTTTATACTAGACTTAGTCCATAAACAAGTTCTGTATTATTATTTTATTTTATCATCCAGATCCGTTCAATACAGAAGCGTGAGGATATTTGTCTTAAGGATATTGAATTTGAATTTTGTACTGGACTCGTACATAAACAAGTTCTTTATTATTGTTTTATTTTATTATATTTATAAAATAATGCTTAGTATATAAATTATATATTTAATATATACTAGCATTGAAACCATACTATTTATAAATGACTACTATTTAACACGGCAATTAAAAAAATGGAATAACATGAGTTTAGTAAAAGTCAATTTTACACCTCGGTCGGTTTTAGAGTTGGGTGGTTAAATATAATAATTCATTATATCATTTTCAGTAATAAATATATTTATGCGCGTGTTCTAGGTCACATAAAATAATAGTGGGAGTGAAAGAGAATTAAAGAACGGCAAAATTAAATCACAAATAAGGAAAATTTGAGTGATAGCGGAAATCCGCTCTCTCGGAATGTAAGAGAGACAAATGTTCAGAAGAATTGTGTGACTTAATGCTAACTTGAAATATATAGTCATCCTTCTCGCACCAAACAAGTATTACTTTTACACAAGCACACGGTGGATGTGGTGCAGCCACGTCACCAAAGGTCAAGTCAAATAGTCAACATTCTGACAAAGTCCACCTCAACAATAATCGATCACTGGGTATCTAACTTTGGGCCAACATTTTGTCGATGGACCTTGGGCCTTGAGTAATAGAACCTCGATCTGACCTATACAAAATTTGTCAATCGATGGGCCTTGAACCTCGATCTGACCCCCACGAAGTTCGTCAATCGACAGGCCTTGAACCTCGATCTGACCCCTATGAAGTTTGTCGATCGACGGGCCTTGAACCTCGATTTGACCCCTACGAAATTTGTCCATCGACGGGCCTTGAATCTTGATCTGATCTCTACAAAATTTGTCCATCGACGAGCTTTGAACCTTGATCTGACCCCTACGAAGATTGTCAATCGACGGGCCTTGAACCTCGATCTGACTCCTACGAAGTTTGTCGATCGATGGGCCTTGAACCTCAATTTGACCTCTCCAAAATTTGTCAATCGACGGGCCTTGAACCTCGATCTGACCCCTACGAAGTTTGTCAATCGACGGGCCTTGAACCTCGATCTGACCTCTACAAAGCTTGTCGATCGATGAGCCTTGAACCTCGATCTAACCTCTACGAAGCTTGTCGATCGATGGGCCTTGAACCTCAATCTAACCTACAAAATTTGTTAATCAATGGGCCTTGAACCTCGATCCGATCTCCGCAAAAATTCATTAATCGATGGGCCTTGAACCTCGATCCGATCTCCGCAAAAAATTCATCAATCGACAGGCCTTGAGCCTCGATTCGACCTTCGCAAAAATTTGTTGGTTGACGGACCTTAAGCCTCAACTTGACCCCTTCAAAACTTGCCGAGCGACGGGTTTTGAACCCTAACCTAACCTTGATCAACGGGGAGTTGTGGTAGGACTCCTCGAGTAACTTTGGGATGCAGAAGAGATTTTGTAATGGAGGATGGAAAATTAGTAATATCTTGCCTACTAAGGCAAGACCTAGTTTGAGGATAAGAACAAAAGACAGCTGGAATAGTACAATTGCCTTTACAACCTGCTATTTTTTGGATTATTCAACAGGAAAGGTACACTTGGCAGCCGATCCCAAGAAGTAGGGATTAGGGCAACATGACCCAAAAAGGACATGGTCCTGACCCGTTCGGAGGATGGAAGCCCAACAAGACACCACCAGGATGACCTAGGGTTATAAAAAGGGGGGCAAGGACAAAAGAAAAAGAGAGAACTGACGGCAGCTTCTTCCCTACCATTGTTCAAATCCTCTGACTGGACTGGTTTTCTCTCCCTTCTTCTATCTCTCTGCATTCCTCATATTATCTTAGTGATATATTCCCAGATTCTTACAGCTACTTTCGGGACCCACGAGAAACAGGTATCTACACACACAACCAAAAGTTTTCGGATACACAATGCTCCACTGAACTGGCTCTGACACACCAGATAAATAGAAAACTGGCAAATCAAATTTGGCTTCACATGATCACTTTATTTGTATAATTTTTCACTTCATAGAGTTCCATAAACAAATGCACAGCATAGAGAACACATGCATATATATATATATATATATATATATATATATATATATATATATTAGGTCACATATTTTTGTATATATCAACTACTATTTGATATCTACTTGTGCCCTTTGGGTGGGGTGTTGGCAAACATCCATGACACACGATAGAGAGGGCCATGTATTTTGTTCCCTGCCACCTCATTGGCTGGCACTGCATCAGATATCTCTTTTAATTCTTCTTTTGTGAGCTTCACTTTCAGGGCACCAATATTTGCCTCTAGATTCTTGATCTTCGTTGTTCCTGTAAAATACACAAGGAGAGGACATTATATATATTTCCAGAAACAAGAAACCTCAATCCAACTCTTAGAATTGAGCTCTTAAAATTTTCAGTACTTTATCAATCAGCACCATAGCCTTCCGTTACTATCATTAAGAAATTAAAACCTCCGACCTCGAAGATATGGTTATCCAATAAAAAGAGCTCCTTGTCGTATCATAACCGTTATAGTAAAAGATCATAAATGATCTCTTGCTACCCAGTATCAACATGTCTTGCCTAATTTTGAGTGTAATAAATAAGTAGCAATCACTAGTGCTTCCGATATTCATGAGGAGGGAATCTATTGTTCACCTAGAATGTCAAGCATATGGTGAAATGACGATTACACTCTAAAGAAAATTGGCTAATCCGATATTTCCAAACAAGTGATGATATTACTGAGATGGGAGTTAGTTGGGATAGAATTACTAAAGATTATATTTTTAAATAAATATTTTGTTTTGTTGTATTATTAATGATGAGATGAAATTGATGACTCTTTTTTAACCATAATATATATTTTTTATATATGACATGTTGAATTAAATTTAATTATGTTGAATGGTTGTATAAAAAACAAGTTAACTACTTTATATTGCCAAACAATCCCCAAAAACACTCTTGGGTAAAATAGTTATTTCAGTAATGTTGTATTTGGTGTGTAGGAATGGAATAGAGTGCAAGTGAGAATGAAATGGAACAACCATTCTCATTTTATTGTTTGGTTGTAAATATGAAATGCGTAGGAATAGAATGATAATAACCATTTTAGTATTTGGTTGGACCAATTTGAATTTAGAATGGAATAAATTTCAAATTGAGTTCTCAAAAATATCCTTCTTGGTAACAAATAAATTAAAGTAACAAAAAAACATTCTTCTATAATTTTTTAAAAATAAATGGTGGCGGTGATGGTAGTGGATGGTGGTGTAGGTGGAAAGTAGTAGTGTTGTAGGTGGTGGTGACAATGATAGAAGGCAGCGGCAATGGTGGTGGTGGAAGGCGACAGTGGTGTTGGTGGAAGGTGGTGACAGTAGTGTGGTGGTGGTGGTGGAATGAGATAGTGGTGTAGGTGGTGGTGGTGGAAGCCAATGGAGGTGACTGTGGTGGTGGTAGAAGGTGGTGACGATGGTGGTAATGGAAAGTGATGGCGGTGGTCGTCGTGGTAGTGAAAGATGGTGGCGGGGGTAGTGGTGGTGGAAGGCGGTGGCGGGTGGCGGTGGCGAAAGTTGATGACGGTAGTGGTGGTAGAAGGTGGTGGTGGTTGAAGGCGGTAGCGGTGGTGGTGGAAGGTGGTGGCGGTAGCGGTAAAGGAAGGCGGTGGCGGTCGTGAAAGGCGGTGTCGGTGGTGGTGGTAGAAAGTGATGGGCAGTAATGAAAGTCAGTGGCGGTGGTAGTGGTACGTGGAAGGTGGTA